GTTTCAAGATGATAACTATTCAAATAAACGATATTAATCGTATTAAACGATTATAATAACCACAGCTAGTCATCATATAGTGGAACTCGCCGTTTTGCCGTATGATTGCTTAACACGTATTATATGATACTGATATGCTGTAAATATTTACCATTTTACTATATTATTTTCTAAAGGCAATCATTATGTTAAATACTTATAGTTGTAAGTGCCTGATAATCGGTTGCTTTTGGACATTTATCGAACATTAATATAGGCAGACCAAATGAATATAACATAGATAAACAAATATTTACGGTACCTACTTAACTTGCACAATAACTATATGGATTGTATAAAGTAAATAATAATAGTAAAAAAAAGGTGTACTTATTTGATATTCCATTACTTTATAAATTGTTAATTCAGTTTTAAAATAAAGCTTTAAAAATCACAATATTTGAACTAAAAGGATTTTTTTTACATATTTTATGTTTTTTATTACAAACTTTAATTAAATTATTTATTTAAAAATTATAACGACCCAAAAAAAAAATTATTTCACAGTAAACTATATTCAAGACCATAATAATTCTAAAAACACTATACAAAATTGATTATTATATAAGTTATGACCTACAACATTCAAAATATAGTTGTAGGTATGCTAAAATATCCTTCATATTTTATAATATTTTTTATTTCTATAACCATTACATTTTTTTTTAAAGAGCCTTCGCATAAAGGTAAGCATTACCGTCACAATTCAACAATTACAATATGACGATAATATTTGAGGTCCAAGGTTGGGCAACTTATATTTTTAACTCGTTAATAGTTGATAAAGAAAAATGTTAATTAAGATTAAAGTGACTTAGCTGAATTAAAAATCGGTTTCATTTACTTTTTAACTTAATAATAAATATGTCCGATGAAAATATATATTCAAAACCAAAATACATAGGTGGAAAACATAATACATTTAAGACAGTGGCGGATTAACCTACTCGGCGCCCTGAGTCAGTGTTGACTTCCCCTTTTTTTAATGCTATCCACAGATCTTAATTTTAATGGGCTAACATCGAAGAATGATGGGTAATCGGGTATAGCCGTCCCGGGAGTGAGAAATGGTTCAAAGGTATTATGGTTGAATAATTATTAATCCACACTTGAATTCAAATATTGTATTACATATAATCTTACAAGTTACAATTTAAAAATAAATAGTACGAATGATTTGATGCAGTTCTTTTCGAGCTTTTAATTGGGAAAAATCATTTATCAACTGGTCAAAGTCTAGTTCGATTGTGATGCGGTTCTCAATACACAGTATGGACAAAGCGTTGAGTTTTTCTTCCAGTAAATTGGCTCGTAAACACATTTTTATTATTTTTAGAGCGGAAAATGACCTTTCAGCGGTGCAGTTGCCAGTTGGATACTGCCATGGAAAGAAAATTTCTAAGAGCTATAAAAACATTCGGAAATGTTTCATACAGTTTTTCATCAAAAAACTGTTTAGAGTTGGAAATTTCATACTCTTTGTAGTGCAGTACCTCAGTTTACAGCATCTGTAAATGTTTCGCTTTTTTCCAAAAATTATGACAGCTTACACACCGACAGTGGCACAGCCCACAGTACAAAGACAATTTTCTAATAATGTTGTAATGATAAACAATATTTCGATGGCTTAGAGGCCAAAAGTTGTATGTCATAAACACTAAATTTTATTTTAAAAATCAGTTCTTTAATGTCATTTTATTCTAAATAAAGATATCAAAGTTTATTTAAATGTACGAACTATAAATATAAGTCATACATAGCATAAATAATCATAGTTACAATTTGTATTCAATATAATATTATAATTTATTTATAAATGTTAAAAAAAAAAATATTTTATTTTACCAATTCTTCAGTATAGGTGTAATAATAACAAATACAAATTAAAAATTAAAGAAAAAGTTTAATTCACTCATCAAATATAAAACAAAAACCCAATGGCCTTAAAAAACGATTTTGAGAAAAATTGGAAATACAACTTTTGGCCTCTTAGCCATCGAATTTCAATACAATATGGGTTGATTATACAATAATTTTATAATATAAACTTACGAATACGCTGCAGAGAAACGGCCAATGTGTCCACCGTCCAGACGTCCACAGCAAAATAAATTGAAAAATAATAATATGTGTTGTAAAATCAATTTATGGTCATAAACACATAACAATAAACCCAAATAATGTCGTTACGATTTACGACCGTTGCCGTGTCAATTGGTATAGTCTATACTATACAGTATACAGGGTGTCCCGTGAGGATATACCCATTAGCCGTAGAGGGGGACTCGCCACCCGTACAAAAACCGGTTTTTTGCTGTTTTACCTATTAACTAAAAAAATGATTAAAAATCAGGAGATTAATAAAATCAAAATTTTGAAACGAAAAAATTTTTATTTTCAGAAAAATGAACTCTACAAAATGTATGAGGTGTACTCCATCTTCAAATTTTTTTTAAATAATTAATAAAAAAAATATATTTTTTTAAACTTTTTTACCGAAACATAAAAGGAAATTATAAAACATGAATTATTCCAGAATAATTATGACATCTACATTATTTCAGGAGATATCGCAAATGAGTAAATCCTCACGGGACACCCTGTAGATGTATAT